TCAATGCCAAAGTGGAACGAAGGAACGTTGAAACTCCCGGAGAAGCAAGTGAGACGTAGACTGGCTGGTGGGGAGTTGCTGGCATGTGAACGTTGAAGGAGGTGCTGATGTCTTCAACCCATTACATGCCAACATTAATGGGCTTAACACTACGAGAAACCAAAAAGAAGTCATTCGATTGGCTGCAACCTCTTCTCCCCGCAACATCACCCACTCATTCACCACCAACATTCACAACAACTTCAAAAAATGGTTCCATGCCATGAATGAGAAAGATTTGTTCAAAGATGGCCATAACATGAAGCAACTGCAATGAACTGAAGATGACGTTCCTATAGTTTTAGCAAACCAACAAAATTAAAAACCCAACTGGCGTCTTTTTGCTGTTAAGTAAAATAAAAGATGAATCGACTAGCAGGCAGTCAAACAAATTAGGTGGAATGAAGGTGGGAGTCATGGAGCAGCCATGGATCTGTGGTAAGCAGATTTTCAAAATCTGTTGTTTCCAAAACAAATGCCTGCCCCTGATTTATCATCACTCATCGACTGCAAATCAACCGTCCTATTTGATTTCTTGTTAGGTCTGAGGAGCAGATGTAGGGAACGAGTTGAAAAGAATCTTGAAAGAAATGACCACGACGCCCACCAGTGTTGCGAAAATGATAAATGTAATTCTATGCAGGCTGGAAAGAATCGCTGCCGAGCCTGGAAGGAATGACATCAACAACAACAACGACAATTATCGCAACATCATTAACAACAACAACAATTTGCGCAATTTGATTTGCTTACCTCTCGTTCTTCTTTGCTAGGTTGTTGTTTATTTGTAGATGTTTTTTTTTTTTTGTCGCGTTTTTTTTAAGTTGTGTGTGAGTTGTCGGGGTGCGCTGCTGTGCTCATAAAGTTTTGTGGTTTGGTTTTGTTGCTACGCTAATGTTGTGTTGATGTTGCTATATTTATGTTATTATCTTAGTGTTCTTGTGTTGATTTTGTTATATTAGTGTTGTTATGCTGATGTTGATGTTGCCATGTTTATGTTGATGTTGTTGTGTTGATGTTGTTGTGTTGATGTTGTTATGTTGATGTTGATATGTTGATGCTGTTGTGTTGTTATGTTGATGTTGATGCTGTGATGTTAATGTAGTTGTGTTGATGTTGTTGTGTTGATATTGTTGTGTTGATGTTGCTATGTTGATGTTGATATGTTGATGTTGTTGTGTTGATGTTGTTGTGTTGATGTTGTTATGT